GTTATACAACCATGCCAGTTTAATAAGGTTTTATCGTTAACAAACTTAAGCCTATTAAGTCAATCAGTCAGTAATTAAGTATTTCACCAAGCGATTTATGATTAAATAAATAAAAGAATATATCAATTCCCAAAGAGTATTTTTTCTTCCTATTGATTTTATATATATTTAAATCATATTTTTTTTTAGTTCGAAAATATTTCTCCTCTCTTTATTTACTTCTCCATAATTTCTTTTTTCATAGACCTATTATAATTTTGGAGCACACGTTAAGCATTTAGTTAATTAGTTCACAGTTAAAAGGTTCAGCTTTGCTGTGGAATATTTTTACGAAACGTGTTCTTTTCTTAGTTTTTAATTATTTAAAAATGATGATCTCGACCAGTCGATTGCTCAATCTGAAATGTAAGCGAGAGCATCTGGTTAATTGGTTCCGTTTTGCGGTACTGTAGCATCAGTATCTCAAGTTCATCAGAGAGCAGCTTCTGTTGAAACCGCTGGCACAGATATATATAAACACAAGTTAAAACCCGCAGTTGCTTCTAGGTTAAGTTTTATGTCAAAAATGTAACAGCATTTAACAGCATATCGCTAGAATAGTGGGCCAAGGGGTGGGAGAGGGGAGGCTGTAGTAGAGAGGGGATGGAGGGGACTTTCTGCAGAGGTTTCTGTGTGTGTGTGGCTGGGCAAGTGTTTCACACAGTAAACACAAGTTAATGAAATTAAAACGTAAGCAGCGGGCAAACGCAATAAACACAAAAGAAATTACAATTAAATTGAAAGCAGGCGGCAGTCGAAGAGATTCAGTTTGCCTCCCGCCTCCCGCCCCCCACACACCTCTCTCCACGCCCCACACCACATCTCTCGGTTGTGAGTAGACGTTGGCGTGGCATGCAACCTAAATGGAAATGAACTCTGAGCAGCTGCCAAGAGAGTCGTGTGGGTTGCCTGCAATTGTGTTGTGTGTTGCCTCTTTGCTGCCGCTTTGGTAAGTTGATGGCCCTATCGCGATGCTCCATTTGCCCCCTCATTGCTGAAGCCCCCTTCCTCCTCCCCCTTGCGACTTCAACTGCGTCTCAGCCTCAGACTCAGTTGCGCACTTGTTTGGCTCTCGCATGACGTGCGGCTTTTAATCGCATTCGTTTCAATTGCCGGAATTTGATTGTGAAATGAGCAACGACTTTGGGCGTTGAGCTCCCCCTTTTCCTCATTCCCCCATTCCCCCTTCCGCTTATTCCAGTCACTGTCCCCGCTCGACTTTCTTTTGTTTAGTGAAGTGCACAGTCAGTGACTCTCTCCGGCACTCCTCTCCCCATTAACCCCCTCGAAGAGTCTTCCATGCACATCTTTCATAACGCCAACCTTTCAGCGTTGCTCAACTATTTTCAACGCAAAAAGCAATACAAAAAAAAAGTGCAAATTTAATGTTAATGTTATAGTTAATGTTAATGTTGTGTGCCTGGGCCATATAAAAGTGAAAACCCTCTGCGGGCAGCTGCATTCTCATTGCATTCTTGGGTGGTCTTCTTGGTTGACTCGTTAAAGTTTTTTATAAACAATATTCTCGTCATTGTTTTTAATGTGTGTTCCTTGTTGCTACTCTTGTTGTTGCTAATGCTACTTTCTATGTGCACTTGTAGCCGTCTTTATTCTTTCCCTGCACCACCCAAACACCAACCTCCTCAGCCACCCACAACTCATCCAAGGTCGTGTTGGAGTGAAATGCTGGCAACTTTCTTATTATTTATTTTGACGTTGTTTAATATATTTTTTTTTATTTCGCGTTTTTCACTTTTCACAAGTTTCCCATAACTAACATTTAAGCCCACTCATATTTATTATGCACATTTCGCTTTCCCACTCTCACAACATTTCGCTGTTTGCACCCGACCCCCCCTGGTTGCACTCTCTGCCCGCCGGCAAAGTTGGAAATTAAAATTTTACTTTGCACATTTCACTTGAATTTGCTGCAGCCATTAGCAGTCGTATTTGTATTGCATTAAGTTTCTTTTTTTGTCTGAATTCAAGTTTTTTTTAGTTTATTTTTATTGTCATAAGCTAAGCTGAAGTCATTAAAATTTGCTATCTGGTCAGAAACATATCCTGTAACTACAAACTCTTCATACAGACCTCTTGGCTGGGCTTTCAAAGGTCGCTGAGACAGAGATAGAAAATAGATAATTTAAGAGGTACAATTGATTGCAACTTTGTATTTATATCTAAATACAACTTTTTATTAAAAAATGTGTTCATTTTACCTTTACTTTTTCATTGTTTCTTCACGCATTTAATAATTCATATTGTTTACTCTTGAATTCAGTTAACTGCAACTTTTCCTCTTTAGTATTCAGTGCTCAACAAATAAATATTTAATAAGCACTTTAATAAACTACCACTCGTGAAATTACTCGCCTACGGGTACATTTTTAAATCATTATGTTTGTTTTACTATTCAAGTGCATTAATCAATAAAAGCAAAAGTGACAAAGAAAACTAGTGAGAACGGTTAGCTTGGGTATGCCGAAGATATGGAACCATTGCAGACTGGAGTCACATATAACTTTCATTATAAATTAATTATAAATGTATTACTTTATAATTATTATTGCATTTTAACTTTTATTAAAATTAGTAACTAGTGAGTTTGATCCGGATATCCTAGAAACCAAATTCCAAACCAAACTCTTTGTACAAGAATTCATAAACTGATATGAACTGCCGTCAGCAAAATGACAGACTTACTTTAAATTCCATCACGACAGCTTTAAACCGGACTTGGCTATTGATGCTGATCAAGAATTTATATACTTATTGGTTTCACAACAAATTATAATAACCTCTGCAGGGTATACAAAATAGTGACTCAATGAAAAGGGGCGGTACACACACACATTTGTATTTGATAAATACGAATGCAAATAATGCAAGTGCACACACACACACACACACACACACACACACACACACACATATACACACACACAAATAGCCAACATTATGTAAATTAAATATTTGCCAATGCAAATGTAAATACAAATATACAAATACTCAAAGAAGAGTCAAGTGCTGCAGCAGAGAGACAGAAATTGGGGACTGGGGTTGAAGATTGGGAAGGAGTAAGGTGAAGGGTGAAAGCAAAGGTAGCCTGATAGCCTGTCTTAAGGAGGTCGCTCTGCGAGTCCAGTTTGCTTGCATAATGCACAAATACATGTAAATGCACATATATTATACACATTTTCATGTGTGTTGTATAAGCTCAAGCTTAAGGATTCGATTGTTGGCTCGATTTGTGTTGTTGTGTTGGTTCAAGGATATGTGCGTGTCCTGAATGGGCACAGCAGCGTATAACTTGCGTGCGAAGGCCAACCAACTCAAACAAAAACTCACTACAGCAACAAGGAAACAGCAACGAAACAACAACAATGAACAACAAAAGCCAACGAAACCAGAAATAATGTTTTAAGGACATTAAGGACATATACATATACACCTGTCGATATTTGTACAGTTTCTGTTTTTTTCTGGCGTATGCTCGTTTGTGTTCATTAAAACGAGCATAACTCCCTCTTCCTGTCAGCCCCCCCCTTTCCTTTGGCTTTGGCAACCGGTTTTCTGCTTTGCTGCATCCCGGCACAGGATCGAAGATGGAAACACTGCGTTTCCGTTCGTAAAAACTCGTTTGTAAGAAAGTGTCCTGCTGTTGCCGGAGGCGCCCCAAAAGTTACCGTTCGACATGTGCCTGCAGCAGACACTCCCCGTTCCCACCAGCCCCTCTTTGACCGTAGATAGCTGCTTTTTGTTTCGGGCGCAGCTCCAGAAAGGTAATCACCATTAAAACTCATTACCAAGGGCAACTGCCAAACACAGCGCCAGGCCAAAAGCAACACGCCAACATGGCCAACATGTCCCAGAGCACTAAAACTGCTTTCTGACCATATAAACCAATTTGGCCACAACTACGATACAATGTACAAACAAAAAATACACGAAGAAAAACACAGACAGAAGAAATTACAAATGAAACCAGAAAAAACGCTAAGTATCCTTTGTTTTTTCTAGGGAATTAGTAAAGGAGAAATTATTCAATGTATTAAACTTTCATTTAAGCTTACCACCTTTATCTTAATTGCATAAGATGTAATACAAATCCAGTTTTTGAATTTATTGTATCCTTGCTCATAAATGTTAATTAAAATAACTCCTCAGTTGACAATCAAAAAACAAAACAAATGTTAATTATTTAAAAAAAGAATAATAATAATCAAATATATATAATATTTAATATATATAAAAAATATTAAGAATTCCATAAATTCCATTTACAAATGCAGTCTAGACTCCAAACTCTCTCTCTCTCTTGTCTCTTAACCAAAAGAATTCATAGCTTGTATGCGACAATATTTTGTAGTTTGTAATGGGAAAAAAATCGTATAACTGGAACTCGGGTCATTAAATTGACGTGGCCCGAAAACCACTTATTCTTTCTATGCCACCCCAAAACCTTCCCAGGAGATGAATTTGCAAAAATGTATTTGGAATAGGTTTTGCAGCTTGGGACTTGTTGGGTTGCTGTTGGGAATTTTGGGGCATGTGTTCGGTTGCCTGGTTGGATTTGCAATCGAAATAAATATGTTTGTTGAAAAATTTCGCCGTCTAGGCAAAGAAATAAATTCCGACTATTTTATTGCCGTCTAGTGACATTACAAGAGTACTTTGCAGTAGGGCGAAGGGCCTGCGGGGCGGGTATTTATTGACTTGGCTGGCGCCTTGCGACGACGACGACGGCGACGCTGGCTGCCAAATCAAGTCAAGAATAATTGCGCTGCAGTTGTCGCAAAGTGGAAATCGTTGGACAGACAACCTTGAGCTAATTTGGCTACCAAAATGCTATCTCAATTTCCACCTCATCCTCACAATCTTTCTCTCTCTCTCTATATCTTTTTCTCCATCTCTGACTCACTCTCTTTGTCTTGTGTTGTCTTATGTCTCTGTTTTTGCAGGGGCCAGACAAAATTCCGAGCAGAGCGCCGCCGCCGCCATCAGCAACATGACAGCCGCTAAGTGGGGCACCGTCACAAGGCAGACGCCCCAAAAATAGACGCGGCTGCCACGAACAAGAAATATCGGAAATGCTCTCCTCCACCGCCACCGTTGTGCAGATGCCACCATCTCAATCCCATCGCAACAACGGCCTGGTGCTTGGCGTCTGCCTCGACCAGCTGATGCAGCACCAACAGCAGCAGCAGCAAGAAAATCACTCCCGATCCGCACCGACAAAGACGCTGGAGGAGGAGCAGAAGTCGACAGCCAAGGAGCAGCAGTTGACATCGAGACAAACACGCTGCTGGCCACCGCCCTGTTTCATTTTACTCGTCTCACTCCTAGAGGTAGGTAACCAAACAACCAACCAACCAACCAACCGCCCACACACTCTTCTAATGCGATTAACCTCGGACCTGCGGCCAAGGGTTGATTGAGTGTGGCCACAAACCAAAAAAACAAGTAAGAATGGTTTCTTAGGCACGCCGAACAATATATCCCCTCTCCAGGGATCATTATCCGTATATCATTACATAATTTAAGATTTGACATATTGTTCCTAGGCAAGATATATTATATAGTAGACAAGTCATTCCATGATTTCTTAGAGCAAATGTTAGGAGTGTAATAAAAGGCATATTGAAAAAGTTTAGTTGGGATATCGTCGTTAGCGAAAAGGTTGTTAAGAGAAACAGACAGCCTTGTCCATGTATATATCGCCTCAACATGTGCTGCTGATCCAGAATATATATAATTATTGGGCTCGGAGACGTCACCTTTAAGTCATGCTTCACTACTAAATAGCACTACCCTCCGCAAGGCTATGAAAACTCTAGCGGGCAGCTTGCCAGGTTGCCATGACTTCGTCCACGTTGCACAACATAGCGAGCAACATATTTTTTTTTTTTGGGTGGCACTTAAACTGGTGCCACACAATTACAACCTGCTACTAAAATAATGAGTGAAACTTTTGGGGAAAGCTCAAAAGGTTTTCCATTTCTAAACGTAATGAGAATTTCAAGCTGCAGTTTTAATAGGATTTGAGCTTAATAGACTCAGAAACTTCTGTTTAATGCCAAACTGAGACATTTTTAATGCGATTTGATTTTGATTTGATTTGATTCGTTTGTGAATTGCAAATATCCTTTAAGTTCTTCTATCCTTACGAATTCTTTTTATGAAATTTACAAATTAAAAACTTCACAGCTGACTGGACAAATGCTGTCTGAACCTCGAAGGTATTCTAAATAAAATAGTGTCGTTATTTAACTGAAAACGACTCACTGAAAAATACTTGACCTGGTGGCAGCAAAATATCTATTTATATTATTGGATACTTTTGATGAATTTAAAAATTTCCCAAAAGCATTTTTCTAAAAGCTTCGAAACAACAAAATGAAATTTTCATCGATTACGAATACACTTTATCTGAATTATGTATACAGAAATATGCTTTACATATTTGATGGCTTTTGGTAGTATCGCTTATGGGCTGCTTCACTTAGTATGCATTAATTTCGCCTGCCGGCAATAGGTTAACAGCTGTTGCTCCACCGAACAGCTTCCCCCTTTGGGAGAAGGCATTTTTTAGGCGTTTTGTTTTGCCATCATCTCAAGTTATTGCTCTGTGGATGCTCACGGCGAGGGTGGTTTGCGTGGTTTAGGGTCGCTTCCATGTGGGTGTCCCACTCGTGCAATAGCACACATTGTGATCATATTTCAGTATTCACCCCATACGTGAGCTGGGGCCGAGTAAAATTGGACTTGAGCCGTAGTCGAGGCAAATAAATTGCCGACTGGCCACAATGCGAGTTGCAAGTTGCGGCAAATGAAGCATTTGCAAATGGCATTTGGCTTCCGGGTAAAGGATATATCAGCATATATACACAGTGCGAAACGGGAGATGAGCCAGGGAGCGAGGGGAACCAGAGGAACAGAGTGCGTGCGAAAATCCAACACTTTTGCGTCTGTGTTAGTGTCTGGGTTTTGCGTCTGCTATTCGCAGACTGGACGCCGCCAGCCAGCCACAGGGATGGAGAGGGCCGGGTCCCCCTTCATTTGGAATGTGCGGCAGGCGTGGGGCAAGGGAGCACATGAAATTTGCCATGCCACCGTCGGTGGTGGGGATGGCTTTGGCTTTGGCTTTGGCGACGCAGACGTCTCGCCGCTGTCTGCTGCTAGTCTCGTTTGCGGTACTTCGGTCTCGGCTCGCATCCCGGCCTGAGGGTTGCTTAACTTGGGCAGTGCTGGATTTGTTTTTCTTGCTTTTTGCATTTGCCTTGGCTTTGGCTTTGGCTTTGGCTTTTCTTTTACTGTCTTCCTGTCTTCCTGTCAGAATGACGGCGCCGTTCAGGGGCTGAAAAATGGCTTACATTGTGATGGCTTTATTGCCATGCCCACAACTCAGTAGACTTCGCCCCGCACTTTAACTACTCGCATTCGAGAGCAGGGCATATTGGTGGGGCGCTTGGCGACTAAACCTTTTGAATCGTCTAATGCGTTTTAAATCGAATCTTAAATCAAATAAACCTCTGCGCAGAAAACGATTTATTGTACCGATAAAAAGCATTAATCAAGTACAAATTTAAAATGCTTCGCTGACAGATGCGATTCTTAAACTCTGATATATATATTATATGGAGTAAAATATTTAAATTTCATGATTTCTGTAAAAGACACTCTAACTGTAATCGCCTTGCAGATCTTTGTGTTTCTCTACGTTGGCTCTGCTCCGCCGGAGGATTCGCTGTTGATCTATCGACCAGATCGTCGCCTGCAGCTGTGGCGCTTCGTCTCCTACGCTCTCCTGCACGCAAGCTGGCTGCACCTGGGTTTCAATGTGGTCACCCAGCTACTCTATGGCCTACCGCTGGAACTGATCCATGGCTCGGGACGCACAGCGATCATCTATGGGGCTGGCGTGCTTGCCGGTTCGCTGGGTACCAGCGTAGTGGACTCCACGGTGTATCTGGTGGGTGCCAGTGGCGGGGTCTATGCTCTGCTGGCTGCCCAGTTGGCCAATGTCTTGCTCAACTTTGGACACATGCGTCAAGGAGTTGCCCAATTGTTAGCCGTTATCATTTTTGGTAAGTGTTCCCCTTCTTCCTCCCTCTCTCTATCTCTCTGTGTCTCCTTTCCTTAATCTTACAACTTATATCTGCAGTCTCTTGCGATCTGGGCTACACGTTGTACAGCAGACAACTGGCTTTGGTGGAGTATCCATCGAGTGCAATCTCAGTCTCCTACATAGCGCACATGACTGGCGCCCTGGCTGGCCTCAGTGTGGGTCTCTGCCTGCTCCGGCAGCTGGATGGAACTCTGCGTCCGCGACTGTTGCGCTGGCTGGCGCTGGGCGTTTGGGCAATTTTTAGTGGATTTGCATTTGCCTTCAATCTGATCAATACTGTAACAGCTCAGCTGTTGGCCGAGCGGGAGGGCGAGGTGATCAAGCAGCATCTGTTGCACGATCTGGGCATGCAACGTTGATAAAAAGACTGAGCTGCAGCAGCGGAGAGTCCAGCCCTGAACTATACTCATATCTGATTAATAGACTAGTCACTAGCTTGTAATGCATTCCAGGACAATGTGCTCAAAAGTATATATTACTCTAAGAACCTAAATGGGGACAGCTCTCTCCTCGCTCAAAGAAGTAGAAACTCAAAGGCTATCAATTATCTTATGTAAATGCCAAAAAAAAAGAAGAAAAAAGTCAAAACGAATCCAATTGCGAACTGAGCAAGGCTCACTTCAGACTTGACTTTGAAAACTAAACACTTCAAGCAAACGCCGCTTCAATTACCAGAAAACATCCTATTTAGAGCTATGCATACTATACACACATACATATGTACATCAACAAGTGAAATCATACCATAGACTTATGAAATAACAAATAGTAGAGGCTCACATATCGCATTAAAAATTAAAAATTCTACATAAAAATCGAGGCAAGAACTCCTTTAAAAATTGAATCAATAATTCAATTTGGTAGTAAAATGACATTACCGAATTTGTGAACCTCTACTAAAGTTTTAGCTAGGCTACAACTAACTGACATAAAACCTTATTCAATTGTATTTTCAGGGTAACTAATAAACAATACAAATAACAATAAAAATATACAATAAAATATGCATCAATTGTCTTAATTGATGGGAAGGGAAAGTGCCCAAGAATGGTTTATAATGTATTTATAAAAAAGCTCTATTATATTACTAAACACATCATTTGACGTATGGGAATTACAGATTTCTAATATTTTTTTTTTAAAAGAAATCAGTACAACAAGAAATTGTTACCACAATGTGGTATTCAATACACTTCATATAAATTTGATGGCTCAATAACATGAAACACATCCAAATCCATTGCATTTGATTGACGGCATTTATTGTAACTCAAATTGCATGACTATTGACGGGATTCATTCTGTTGCGTTTTGTAGCCCAATTTGTGCGAGTGCTTAAGAGGGGGAGGTGGCATACTAATGCAGGTTTATCAACACCCATCAAAGCACCAACAGCAGCAGCAGCAGCAACGACAGCAGTCTGTAATTGGCAAACGCAAAGTAAACAACAAACAAAAAATTAGCCGCTCGATTTTGTTTGTTGGCATTGCCTCATCAAGAATTGGCCTAATTAGGCACAAGGCCCCCTTCCCGAAGTGAGGTGTCGCAAAACTAGGAGCGTCCAGAGGGTAGAAGAGCTAAATGGGGGACAGCATTTGGCTTTTGTTTTGGTTTTCGGTTTCGTGTCGCAGTTTGCACAGCCCAAATACGAAATGTGGACGCGTGCCAAGTCAGCATTTACCCTCTAAAAATGTATCTAGTGCCAACAATCCATGGTATACAAACACTCGTTTCCAAATCAAGGTACCCCACATCTGATTTGTATGCGAGGGTATTCGAAATTGTAAACGATTCTTCTGACCGTATTTGCGCTGAAATTTAATAACTTGTTGCTGCAATTTGGTGGCGCATTCGATTTCTGTAACTGATGCAACAACAACAATAACAATCACTAGAGCAAAAAGAGGGAGAAGAAGGAGAAGAAGCAGCGCAACTTTGACGAGACATTGATGGTTCAATCCCCCAATCGACCCACCAGCGTGCAGAGCCAATTTAGCAAACTGAATGCGATTTTTATATGCAACCTGTGCAGCTGATCTTGCAACACGACTTGAAGAACTAAACTCAAACTCGAGCTCGAACTGAAACTGAAGATCGGCGCACCTTAAATCCTCGTTAAGTCATCACCATGGTGAGCTGCTGCTGGCCACGCTGACAACCACGACGACCAGAATCGGGGCGACATTTGACAACAAATATTTGTGACATTAAATGCCATCCACATCCACATCCACATTCTCAGCCTCATCTCTGTGCTCATCTCCCAGCAACTGCGGCTACGTGCTCATTTCACTAATTTAATGAAGACCTTTGCGGTGGCGCGTCCTTTCCATTGTCTCGACATCGTCGTCAGATTGATGAGCATCGAGCACTGGCCGTGCCTGGCCTGGCCTGGGTAGACCACATACATACATTCAACTCATGTTGCTCCTGCTGCTGCTGCTGCTGCTGCTGCTCCTCTTCGCTTTCACTGCTGCTGACTGCATCAATAATTTGTGTTCGCCGTTGAAAATAATTGACCAAGTTTGTCTGTTTTGCGGTTCTTGGGGCCCAGACGAAAAGCGTTGTGGCATTTAATCTACTACTTGCAGCCGTCCAGAGACGATAAAGCGACTGCAGACCACGGATGACAACGACAACTGAAGCGGCGGCAGCAGCTGCCACAGACGACAACAACAGCAACAACCACAACAACAACAAATCAGCATTGGTTCTTCTGCATCTTGGCCTCAAACTTGGACTTGAAGCTGAAGTTGGACTTGAGTTGAAGTTGGACTCACTGCACTTGGCGTAATTGAAATAATTTTAAGTGAAAAATTTGCATTCAAAAAATATTTCAGCCAGCGCACAAAAAAACAAGTAAGTAACAAAGAGAAGTAGCAGCTCTACAGCACAACAGATGCCCTACCAGGGAAGATCTACAGAGAGAGAGATACAGAGAGAGAGAGAGAGAGAGAGACAGAGTGAGAGAGAGATATAGGGAAAGGGAGTTAGTTCCAAAAGTTAACTGACATTTATAAGCATTATCAAGATCAAAATTAATCAATTACAAAGCAACCCTCCTTGAAAAGCGGCCTGAATGAACCGCTCAGCAGAGGTAGATAAGCTTCAGCTTCAGAACTTATTCGATGTTTTGTTTACAGATGTTATCCTTTTAAATCCTCTTTCATTTTACTTACAATATCTTTTATAAGTTGACAGTTTACACATCCATTCAAATATCATTGATTGGAAGCAATTCAAAATCTAGACTTCTGAGTTATTCCATAAAACTCAAATACCCAAACCTAAAGAGGGCAAGTTTTATGGCCACCACAAAAATTTACATGCGCAAATTTAAAGAGTGGCCGGTTGGACACAAAAAAAGAAAAGAGTCATCAGCTTACAGTTTGCAGTTTGGCATCCGGCCAAACATTGGAGCCATCTTAATCCTTGGCATTAAGGCAAATTGCACAGAACAAAGAGAGAAAAAAGACTCATTGATTGGGCCTAACGCGAGCCAAGCAATGAACTTTCAAGATGGAGCAACGAGCAACAATCTCCGATCTCCGATCACCGATCACCGATCCAGCGATCGACCGAGCACCATAATTTGCTTAATTCGGCGCTCAGCCAAAAGTTGTTCTTGCTCGAGCAACGTCTACGGTTTGGGGCTGGTTTCACGTAATGGGCGCTCAGCACGCGGCTGCCACTCGTCAATTTTGTGGGTAGCATATCTCTTCTTTTTTTTGTCTTCTGTTGGTCTTGCAACTGCTGACGATCGACACGTTCGGATGATCCTGCATCTGCTGCTGCTGCTGCCAAGGAGACAGCAGCTTCTTCAGCAGCAGCAGCACCAGCAGCGCAGCCTCAATTTAACTTTTTGACTGTGCCTGCGGGCAGACTGTAAGTTCAAGTTAAGTTTTTATCACATGTTGCACTTGCCGCTTTTTTCGGTGTCTGTAATTTTGTGCGTCGAGAAAAAAATATGTGAGCACACCCCTCGAAACACAAAACCAAACCCAGACCAAGTTCCATAATAACTCTGCACAATCTCACATATTGATAGCGCTAATAGTGAAGCGAAATATTCAGGTGAACTTGATAGGTCAGATAAAAAAGATGGCAATTTAAATGCGTTTCGTAGGAACTTGTTCATATTGTTTCACTTCGTTTTTCATGATATATTTCTAAAGCTTCAGCTTCAATTCTTTTCTTGGAAGCAGTATATTAAATGTAGAATAAGTAGATCTGAAGGACTCCAGCTAGACATATAGTTTATTTTATTCTTATTAGATTTGTGTACATTTTAAATTTGAACTCAACTACTAAGTTTACAGAAATACACAAAAACCTTTAATAATGCACATAAATAAAGTCTTTTTATTCGCTTCACCTAATTATAATTATGTTTTATTCTTATCCTGCAAATTTCATAATAATCTGACAATCAGCATTCGACCCGAACACAGGATAACTTTCTAGTGGTTTTTTATGCTCTGTGATAATGAGGCGTTGGAGCAGGGACTGCAGGATAACAGTGTTGGAGGATGCGTGCTCAACAATGTTAAATGGCCGACTAATTTCATTGATCGTTGCCAATCTATGCATCTCATTAAAGCTGCCAACAAGGTCTCGTTGTTTGGATGTTGTTGTTGTTTTTATGGTTCACCGCTTGGTGGCATCATAACTCAGCTCAATATAAATCTGTTAACAAAACGCTTAATCCGCTTTGTGCGTTTTATTTATGGCCATTTGATGGCGCATTATCGGATCAGGCACATGGCACCCGACAACCGACAACCGACAACCGACAGCCGACTGCCGACGACCGACAATCGGCAGACATGCGGTTCCATGGCTCATTGGACAGTTGGCAGCTGGCGCGCCTCATAATTGGATTCGTCACAGGCTCTCTTGCGGTCCTGGTCATAAATCGCGGCCTGCTTGAAATGCAAATTCGGTGCTGATACCCTCCCCTCTACCATTCGCCCTCTATCTTGTTTACTGTCGTTGCATGTCGAGTGTGGATATGTGGTTTTGGGTTTGGTGCATGTGAATATAGAGTATCATCGGCAAGGCATCAAAGTGCCACGCTGCAAATGTTCGCCAGCCCAATTAACGCGAGCAGCAGCACCAGCACCAGCAGCAGCAGCAGCAGCAGCAGCAGTTGAGAGAGTGCAGCAGCAGCAGCAATCAGAGTTCACTTGAACAGCGAAATGTTTGCAATTAAGCCTCGATTTTCGGCAAAGTGCGTGGCTCTTAACGGACAACAGGGATGCAGCAACAACAACAACAGCAGCAGGAGCTGTGGCAATAACAACAACAGCAGTAGGAGCTGCATCACAACAAAAAAGTTAACAACAACAACGAAAGCACTACGAAGTTAACAACAAGAAGCATTTCATGTTCCTGAAGCTGGCTGCTTGTCGATGCGTAACAAAGGATAATCCACAATACTGACTCGTTGGCTGGCTGTTTTGGCTGCTGCAGCTGTTGCTGTTGCTGCTGCTGCTGCTGCACCCACCACAAAGTCAGACAACGTCAACAGCAACAGCAACAACAACAGCCCACGCCAATACTCACAAGAAAACTGTCAATTGGCTTAAAGCGGAATTGTAATACCCTTTTAATTCACTTGAATAAGCTGGATAATGTCACAATGTTTTTTGGCATATCTTTTTAAATTCATTTTAAGTCAGGCTTTAAATGAAAAATGACGAAATTATGGCTGTGGAAAGTTTTGACCGGTCCCATATACCACTTTTTGGAGGCATCATTTCAACTTGAATATATGCGTAT